CACGGAAGTTTCAGATGAGATTCATTGATCACCGACCTGCCGTTGGAGACGTTGCCCCTGAACGCTCATGTCAGTTATTTTACTTAAACGTCCCAAGGTTGTTATCTATATCAAGAAGAATTGAAGAAAGAAATCCTTTTTTCCTATTAGGATGAACCATGATTGAATCCCAAACTCAAACGCCCTCACACCGCAGAGGCGAGGCGCTCATGCAGGCTAAAAATAGTATCACAGCTTGATATTAGCTGTTGAGAAATTGAAGTTAGCTTAGGCGGAAAGAACAAGCTGAGCTGACGAGCTGAAGGCAGGCCGATTGCTAAGATGCGCTGGCAGACAGGCATCTACTGCGAAAAGGGTGGTCCAGCCAGTTCAAAGCATTCAGAATCCAGAACAAGAACCCCCGAGCATCGTAAGGCATTTGAAATGGTCATGTCTTGATAGCCAATATAACCGTTGAAATCTTTCATGAAGGGAAAACATGGGTGACTAAATATATGTATTAGTTGGTAAGTAGGTAGTTTCATTTCATAATACACGTAGTGACAAATCAATCGATCCGAATCCTCATTCTGCACCAAAAAATTCAAACCCAACTTCTAGGGGAATGGGGGTGGAGAGATGAACAAGATAAACTTTGGTAGATGCAAAGTGAATGCTAGCTTATAGTTGAAGGCGGTGGCGGGAAAAAAAGAAAGAGATTTAGTGAAGGTCAAAGGGTTTGTGAAGGCAAAAATAAAGGGAGCTGTCAAACATTAGGTATGCTTGAGTTCCTCATTGAAAGGAAAGTAATACATCTTAAAGAGAGGGATGTAAAATAGTTCCATAAACGCCCGTTTTTATGATCGTCACCGGATGGCATCAGCTTGGTCTGCAAGGGAACGTAAAAGTGGAAACCATAAAAGGATTCGAGAAGAAAATGTCCAAGAAGAAGTCGTGGAGGGGAAGAAATAGAGTCGTGTTCAATTGGACAAGACAGGCAAAAATAAAAGCTAAAACACCAAGCAATGAAAGATAATCATGACATCGATGAAGGAAAGTAAAAGAAAATGGGAACTAGCACAACAGAAGGAAAGGAAAGAAAGAAAGGCCGCGTGTTATTGGTGTGTTATCTTTTTTTGCAAGAGTGATCAGATCATAAAACGCCTGCAGGAAATGAGAGGCGAAAAGGAAAGGAAAACAAAAATAAGAAGAAAAGCTATGGAAGGAGGGAAGAAGATAGGAAGAGAAACAAAAAAAGATGAATATGGACATGTCAAAAATATCAAAACAACGTGGCCATCTGACATAAGGAAAATTAATAAGGACAGTCGCCAACTTGCAGACGATTGTTACCAAAGAGAGGGGAATAAAAGATTATATGCGAAATCCTAAACCGTCCGCATTTCGAAAGTTATAGAACACCACCAGGCAGCTGTATCGAATTGGTCTGGATGGATCGTCCAAGGCCTGCACTAGCTAGGCCACCAGTTCCACCATCGAAACCTGCACTGCCAGGCATGATGCCAATGCCTCCGGCACCAGCGGTACCTGGTGGACCTTGATATCCACTGACCATCTGACCATCTACTAACTGCGCTTGCTTCCGAAGCATGAACATGGGCTTCCGTCCTTCTTTCTCCAGTTGCTTGAAAAGAATTAAAGGTCGCTCATCGAGACCGAGACATCGCTCCTGATCACCAAAGACAATGTATAATGCGTAAAGTCTCCAATCTTCGTTGATATTGTACTTTTTAAGGGCAGCCGGGAGGACCCTGTGACAGGGATCGTCCATAGATACTCGGAAAGATTTGAATATTTCCACGCTAGGGGCAGGTGATTCTCCTGGAGTTCGTGAGGCGAGCTGGTTCCCAGTGGCAGAGCTTGGTGGTTCTTGACGACTCGATTGAGTAGAAGGGGTGGCGGCAATGGATCGGTCAGGCCGTTGATGGGATTGAAGTTCGTCAGAGTGGTCGTGGATTCCGCGGTTTGAGCTATTTGATGTCTCCCTGGCGTATGATCGAGAGGCTAATGTTTGCTGCGGGTAGAAGCTTCCTGGGGAGGTAGGAGAGGGCATTCCTTTTGGAGAGGGCTGACCGCCACTCATAGAAGCAGTTAGATGTGATGACGCCGCCATGGCTGCAGCTGACGGATCTAATGAGTTATCATTGACTGGTCTTCCCTCAGGTATAAATTGAGGGACGTGAGTAGGAGAATTGTTTTTGGGAGTCCATCCCCCTGCAAATAATTTCTTAGAAAATGACCTAGTAAGGCTATTTCCAGGTTTCTCAGCTTGTTGTGTGATAATTGATGTTGCTGTGGGTGGATCATGGATGTGGTATTCTGAGTTGATGGAGGTACCAGAGTATGTCTAATTTGATTGATAAGGCACAGGCTGTGACCTGTCTTTCGCGATTTTTACTACCGGCAATAACTCTTCACGAAGTTTGCGATAGTCATCCGCCAGTTTCCTGAGTTCCCCTTCTGCAGCTATGATCCTTTCATCTCGCAATCTAATCGATTGAATTATGCGAGAAATATCGTCTTGAGTCGCAGCTTCAGCTCCATTACTCTGCTCGGCAGCTGTAAACAATCCTGTGTTAGAAACTTTGTCTCTGCACCTTTACTAGGTAGAGGCATCTGGCGCATGGTAACCTACAGAGAGGGACATAATGGTCTGCATCCAAGAGTATTCCTTGCTTGACTTTGGTTTCGTATACGCTCTTAAGAATAGTCAACCGATGACCAACGCTCGAAATACCCATTTCCTTCAACTCCTCGTGTTTTAGAGCGATAAGCGCTTCCCCAACAATTTCATTTTCTGCAAGGCAAGAAAACACGCAAGGTATTATTATATTAGTAAGGCAGGTTCGATATTGCTCTATTTTCCTATGGCTAAATGTTGGTATACATACCTAGAAACGCATCACAGTATTGGCTCAGGCCTAACCCCGCCGCAAAATCTGCACATTCCTCCGCAGTCCATTCCGTAATGATTGTTCTGGGTGAACTCCTATCATCAAGTGTATTACCAAAGGTGGTTGGCGTATGTTCTGCGGATGGAAGCTCTGAATCGGTGGGAGATATTTCTGAGTCTTCTATATGCGGCGAGGTGACCACGCTTCGTTCGTATTCATCATCGGCATCCGAATCCGCATGATACGGGGTTTGGAACGCCATCTTGGAGAAAAATTAAATACAATATCGACTGGTAGGAGGATGGCAATGGAGGTTTGGAAGCGACGATGGCTGAGAAGAGTGTTGGGGGACCAAGTAAGCCCGCCACCCTTTAGGACGAGCGAAGGGAAGGATATCAAATAATCCCTGTGGATGACTCTCTCGAAACACACAGGATGGTCGAAGGACCTGTAACGCTTGCAACGAACAAAGCGACAAGGTTCGACAAGCTCGAGACAAAGACGATGGGAAGAGACAGCGGCCTTGATTTGGAAGTTTTGGCGTTCTTGGTGAGAGCTTTGTTGATATGGGCCGACGGAAACAAAGACGGATGCTGATGCGGGGAAATTCGACGAGGATGAAAGAGAGATAGAGAGGTTCAAAGCATAAGCTGGTTATAAATGGGTCGGACAATGTATGTCTATGTGTGGATCAACGAATATGCCATCAGGGCTGAAGGGAGAAAGTGGAGGGAGAATGCTGAGTTAACGAGGTGAATCGGATAGCATTCGAAAGTGGCGGGTATAAATGGGGAAACATCGACAGGGGAGGAGGAATGCAGCGAGAGGAACAATCTATTCACTGAGGGGGTAATGGGGGATACAATCGAGAGGGCAGACAAAGATAGAACAACAAGTGCAGGAAGCAAGTGATGTTGTTGGAATTCGTTGTTGTATAGCACCACTTCGCCGTTGATATTTCGAGAGCCGCAGGTTGGATGCGCTGAGGAGGAGGAGTGACGGATTGGGAACGAACGTGCGGCCAAGGTGCCATTATCACGTGGTACAATCCATGGATGGATGACCTCGGGAGATAAAATATGCACGTGATATGGTCCGGACCAGGAACCTTCGGTTGCACTAAGCTTAAAATAGATCCAGACCCCCTGGGAAAGCTTCCTAATGAGGCATAGTGGGCCTATCACCTGATTGCTGTTCCTTGGCAAAGCTTAATCCCGGTTGATGGTCACATGACTATTGCTCGGCATCACAATCCTCCAAGTGCACGTCTGTCAGAGAAATATCTTCGAGAATGCAGATTTCTCAAATGGAGCGCCTCCGCTGTACCCGATTGGCCAGTCCGTGATCTGTAGAACTGGTTTTCCTTCAGGTACCGTTTCATCGGCCTTGCGTCCTACATTTCCTTGGATTCCAGCAGCAGGAACCACTGCCCCTCCACTGCCCTGGGGACCCTGGGCCTTGCTCTCCTGCGGATGCGCTACCCAGGGCTCTAAATGAGGCTATATATACTTATTTAGCCGGGTAATAACAGGAATAATATAAGCCCAAAAGTCCCCGCATTCTTACTATACATACCAGAATGCTGAACTGCTTGCTCCCTTGTCAATTTTCCGTCGACTACACAAAAAGCAACGGGAGCGGGTATAAATTAGAACTAGACACAGATATTTTTTTTTTTTTTTCGTCTTCAGGACAAGGTCGACTCCACTTTCGTGAAAGTTGAAACAGAGCCTGTCCAAAAGATCTTTCTCGATTTTGATCCATTCCACTCTTTTTTTTTCTTTGGAACATTACAGAACTTTCGCTGGAAATATTTCTACTTGAACGCCGGTAGCCCCAGAAAGATGTTCCCGAGGTGGTTTTCACAAGACGCTCTAAGTTCGTCTGCGCCTCACTATTTCCATTTGTTCTGTCGATTAAATAAGGAAGAATTGGCCAATGAATCGTGACCATGTTTCATAAAGACACAGAATCCTCAACCCCCATGTTAGTTGTAAATCGGATATCGTCCCTGCGTACTATGGAAATCGCATTGAAATGTGTTCGCTCCTCCAGGAACATCTATCCATACATCGAGTATTTCTCCCCAGCGACCTCCCTGCCCAATTATATAGTTGGTTGCGTTGTTTTTTCGTGGTCTGATCCCTGGCTGCGCATGCATGACTAAGCCCCTCTGCTGGTTAGTTAAGCCAGTCCTGGCGCCAAGAAATGACGTCCGGAATATCAATATTTGATCTCCGCCCTCTCAATCTCCTCCTGCCCTCCGCCCGGTGCATGCCTTCATTCAATTCCCGTGCGATGCCATGATATGATATGTCTGCTCCTCTCTGTTGTATTTTGCTCCTGCTTCATTGCTATTTCCTCGAGCCATGACTTCATTTACTTGACAAGTTTCCCCTTGAACAAGCTGGCAAAGAGAGATACCAAGGCACCATAACTCAAAGCCTAACCGTCAAGGTCCAGACATCCATACCCGCCAACCCTTTTTGCTTTTCCCAGGTTATATATGTGTGGGGCGACGCAGGCTAGTTAGCTATTTACAGTATTTGGTTGGTAAAATACTCTGTCTTATTTTTCCCTTCATTGCTTCCTAGATTGTACCGTACTTCACATTCTAACGCAGGTGTCATTTTTGCTCTCAAGGACGCTGTGCTTTTTTACCCCGCCGCAAACTCGTCCGATAATCTAAAACCAAAATAGACGGGCGCTGGTCTTCCGTATTTATGATATTTCCGTACAAGTTGGATTAGGGGTGTTCACCTCTTACCTCCAGATTGCCCATTTGGAGCTCGTTGCTTTTTTCTTCGTTTAACGGCGCACTCCTTACAAACTACCACCCCGTGGCACCGCTCGCCCTCCAAATCCAAATTACACAAACGAGCCCTCGACCCATTCACATACGACACACATAATGCCTATCACAGCCCTCTCAACAACAACAGCCGCACCGTCAACATCCAATCAGCCACCCACCTCATCCACAGACGCCGACGACCCTACCGCTGTCCTCCTCACCTACCTCTCTTCCACCTCCTCGGCAACCACCGTCCTCGAAGATCTCCATGCCTCCCTCCTCAGCTCCCTCCAACGCTGCGGCTGGACTGAACAGGTGCGCGGGTTCGCACTTGAACTCCTCCGCGCAGGACACTGCAGCCGCTTCGAAGAAGTCGTCGATACCGTCGTTGCTCTCGCGACGAGTAGTGAAGATGTAACGGCTTCGTCGTTAGCGGTGGCGAGAGAGCGGAAACGGAAGAAGAGGAAACAGATCATGATGGGCGCGAGGCTGAAGAGGGCAAGGATTGGGGAGAGGGGTGATGGTGCTGATGTGGATCAGGAGAATGGAGATAATGAAGATGGGAAAGGGGATGGGGGGAGTGAAGATGACGCTGATGCGGATGCGGATGCTGATGCGAATGCGGATGATGATGCTACATGGTGGTGGTCAAATCGAGGGGAACTTTGCTGGGAATGGGATTATGGATGAGTTACCGAATATTCGCATCCCGCAAGGCATTGTTGCTGAGGGTGTTAAAATGCTGACACGAAGCCCTGGAAGGAGTGTTTGTATGTAGACTGAGGTGGTGGCGACGAGTCTGCTTCTTCAATATTCATCGCAACAGGCGAAACTGAGCTGAGCAAAGACCAACAACCACAGGGGGCGAACCACAGAAACAAATCAGCACCTATATCTACAACAAATGGCGTCGCCAATGCCAATGGCAGCAGCACGGCGTCGTCGAAAAAGATGCCGTTTTCTTCTTCCTCGTCGTCGGTGCCTTCTTTAAAAACAACATCCAGCAGCGCAGATGGCAAGACCACTACTAAACTCAAGGCTGCGGCCAAGAACAAGTTGCAAGAGAATGGAGGTGGAAAAGCGGCGAAGAAGACGAAGAAAGGGTGAGGGATAAGATGGATAAGACCCAGGGGAGGGACAATTAGTGTTGTTTGATACGAATGTTTTTTATGCTTGAGCCTCGCACTCACCACTTTTCCGCCTTCGTTCCTCCTCGTCGTCATCTTCTCTACTCTTCCTAAATATTCCTCATCCAGAATTACTCCGGCCTCCTTACCCTTAACTACCCTGGTAACGCTCCATTGGTCAGTTCTTTTAGTTCTTCACTACATTCCTGTATATTATGATGTTTCCTTGTTATCGCGACCGCGACCCTCTTTCCTCTTTTTTTCTTTTCTTTCTGTTGCCATCTCATTTACGCTCATCATTATCATCATCATACTCATTCATCAATCTCGTAGAGAAAGAAAACAATTTTCCCTTAACAAGAGAGTGGAAAAATATGTCTTTTTTTGGAGTTGAGAATCTGTCGATTATGCACCTTTTGTCTTACCCATTGCATTTGATCCATGCCTCCTGTTTGAATCACTCTTTTATTGAAGGTTTCTTTTCACCATCTCTATATATTCCCCTTTAATTTAATTTTCAAATTATATTTATACCGTCCATGCATTCGCCAGGTCCCCCCGTCCTCCTCTACTGTATGTATATAAATTTGGCAGCCTTTATTTTATGTGGCACTGCGAATTCTGCTATATCCATCCCCCTATATTCTCTTTCATCCCTCCGCTCCCCACCCCCATTTCTTTAAAATAGATCTTATCTGAGGAACGCTACCAAAAAAATAACTTAGATATTCATGTTTATGCCCGAGAGCTATTTATGAGTTACGCAGTATATATACAACATGCAAGGGTCTTCGAATACTTCTCCCTCAAACCGCACATGTTTCCCTTCCCCGGCTCGGCTTCCAGATATCTCATCATTTTCAGAGCACACACGCACACCTACCTACCTACCTGCACAGCAACAACGCGCAGGCCGATTCATATAAGATGATCTTCCTCATATCGTCTAAGGATAGGTAAGGGGTGGTGTTGAGTTACTTTCTAAGAGCGAGGGATACTTTGTACAGGTACTGTTCCTCAGTATCATACCAGATATTCATTGAGCTCCACGGATATGGATGGTTCTCTAAGCGTCTAAGCGAAGGTTGCTGGTTACTAATAAATTGCCGGGCGCGCTGCTCCCTGCATTCCGCCCCGACAAACTCACACTCGAACGAATTAAATTTATCTTCTTAACTGTACAACTCTCACTGTTCCCTAAGCCTGAAATGGAGAATCACTCGAGGGCAAAATCTCCCGTTATCTGCTAGTTTATTTCAAAAAGTAATTCTTGCAAGTTTTAGTGCTTAGGATTGCTGTACAGCGTACTGTCGCCCGCCATCTTTATATCTCTACTGCCTCAAGTATAGGTTTGAAATGATTAATTGAAAGATTACAGGGGGAGGGGGAAAAAAATAGAAGGGAAATTCGAGAGAGCGAGAGGGAAGATAGAACAAGACTAACAACTGATTGATTCATTCACTTCATCCGACCCATCCATCATGCAATTCTTTATCTTTCAAATGTAAAAAAAAAAAAAAAAAAACAAAAAACAAAAAACAAAAACAAAAAAACCAGGGACAATTTTAAAGACATAAAAAAGAAAAAGAAAAAAAATTGTCCTAAGCTAAGATGTTTTATTAGCTGCAAAAGACAAGCAAGGCCTCGAAAGGGGGAGTCGGCTATACACAGGAGTAGCGTAGCTTAACAAGAGGGAAGACAGGGGAGTTGAGAGGAGGCAAATCAAATCTAGCTAACAGATAACAAAAGGAAGCAGAAACCAACTGCTCTCAACAAATTTGACCCCCTATAATTTAGTCATATAGACTGTCGTCATTGCCGGCATCGCCAAACCCGGTTTGGCCATCAGTAGCACCCGATTCCCCGGCAGACGGGAAACGGAAGAAAGAGCTCCCACCAGAATTCTTCATACTTTGCGCAAACGCCTCATATCGTCGAATCTCCACGTCGCTCACAGAGCGTCGCGCCATCTGCATCGCCTCCTCGAAGTGCGCGCGGGTAAGCTCCGGTACGGGGTCCTCGGCATCAAGGTCTTCATCCATCTTCACATCTTCCCCGGCAGCTTCGCGCTCCTTGGTTCGCTCGATGTCGAGCGCGATGGACTGTTTGATGGCCAGTTTGACGGCGCGCTGGGTAACGAAGCCAAGATCGGCACCGGAGAAGCCGTGAGTTTTGCTAGCGATGAATTTCAGATCGACGTCGGCGGCGACGGGGGTCTTGCGGAGTTGAGCCTTCAGGATATCAACACGTTCTTCCTCGTTGGGGAGGGGAACGTAGACTAAGGTGTCGAGACGACCAGGGCGGCAAAGAGCGTTGTCGAGCTGCTCGGGACGATTAGTAGCGCCGATGACGAAGACGTTCTTCTTCGAAGTCATGCCGTCCATTTCTATACCGTCGTGTTAGTGTGGGAAATAGTTGCAAGGGATTAATTAGCAGGTAATGGATAAATAACATACCTGTCAAAAGCTGGTTGACAACGCGGTCGGAAGCACCACCAGCATCACCAACGGATCCACCTCGAGACTTGGCGATAGAGTCCAACTCATCCAAGAAGACAACGCAGGGGGCAGCAGCACGCGCTTTGTCGAAAATGTCACGGATGTTGCTTTCAGACTCGCCGAACCACATACTCAATAGTTCAGGGCCCTTGACAGAGATGAAATTGGCTGCACACTCGTTGGCAACAGCCTTCGCAAGAAGTGTCTTACCAGTTCCAGGAGGGCCATAGAACAAAACACCTTTGGAGGGAGAAAGACCAAACTTGAGGAACTTTTCTGGGTGATCGACAGGGTATTGGACACTCTCGATGAGTTCGCGCTTGACCTCGTGCAGACCTCCGATATCTTCCCAGCGGACATTGGGGACCTCGACGACGGCAACTTCGCGAAGAGCGGAGGGGTTGGAGACACCAAGCGCGAAGCGGAAGTTTTCCATGGTCACTCCTAGTGAGTCCAAAACCTCTGCATCAATGGTATCTTCATCCAGGTCAATGAGATCCATCTTCTCACGAATTTGTTGCATAGCAGCTTCGGAGCAAAGAGATGCAATATCTGATCCGACATAGCCATGGGTTTCCGCCGCAATAGACTCCAAATCGACGTCTTCAGCGAGCTTCATATTCTTGGTATGAATCTGGAGGATCTCAAGACGGCCAGTTGGATCCGGGATACCAATATCCACCTCACGATCGAAACGACCGAAACGACGTAGAGCAGGATCCACGGAATTGGGGCGGTTGGTGGCCGCCATGACCACGACATTTGAGCGCGCCTTCATGCCATCCATTAATGTGAGAAGCTGGGAAACAACACGACGCTCGACCTCTCCGTTAGTCTTGTCACGCTTGGGAGCAATGGAATCAATTTCATCAATGAAGATAATGGCGGGAGAATTCTTCTCTGCTTCTTCGAATGCTTTTCGCAAGTTCGATTCCGATTCACCTGCCATTTTTGACATGATTTCAGGACCGTTGATGAGGAAGAAGAAAGCACCGGTTTCATTGGCAACAGCACGAGCCATCAGGGTTTTTCCAGTACCGGGGGGACCAAACATGAAAATACCACGAGGTGGTTTGATTCCGATAGATTTGAAGAGTTGAGGGTGGCGAAGAGGTAGCTCAACCAACTCACGGATCTGAGCCATTTGTTTTCTGCAGCCTCCAATGTCGTCATACCCAACATCGTTCAGGTTACCCTCCTCGTCCTCACGCTGGATGGGTTCACCTTCGCAGTGGATAAACTGTATCTTGAGCCACGATGCCGTATTCTGGGGGATCCACTTCGACGACCTTGAACTCTACCTGGCGCATACTAGCTCTTACAGTGAAAAGGTCACCCTTGTCGACCAGGGTCGGTAGGCTTCGCGGAAATATGGGGCAAGGAAAACGTCAAAGAGAGAGCCGGGTTAGACCCTCCACGGTATCCGCAATGGGCAAGACAGCGATTCGCTTGGCCCTGTTATATTGGTATCATTAGTTTCGCGTTCAGGAAGAACACCTGTTTTGGTGGGATTGAACATACGTATTTGATATCCGGGCATGGGTGGACGGTGATGACGTCGCCATGTTTAACCCGCAAGTTATGCCTAACGACACGGTTTACACGAGCGCTCCCATCATCCAGGTCATCATCAGCCAAGACAATCAGAACAGTATCTCTTCGCATTTTTCCCTTGACCAGGACGGTGTCACCACGGAACAGCTGGAGTGTTTCCATGGTGTTGTTGGAAAGCGCAATGATGGAGTTGTCATCGTTAACAGCATCAGTAACACTGCAGGCCATAACAAATCAGCGTGACTTTCTTATTCTGGTGGTTTGTTCTAAAGACACTCACAGTAAAGCGTTTGGCTTTTTCTTCTTTTTTAGAATGGCTGTGGATGTGTCAAGCTCCTGGAGGGGAGATGGTTAGCGCCACCAACAATCAGAAAGCAGCAACAGCTCGAGAAAAGGCTAACCTCATGTTTTTCTGCACCAGATGGGTCGCTGGAAGAGAACATTAGCATTTATCGTACTCATAGAGGACGTAGTAGAAGACAAAGACGTAGCCCAGGTACTCACGTCAAGTTGACCTTGTGCTTAGCGTGATCAGGTTCTGCAGACATGTTGGAATGGCACGAGGGAAAACAGACGGATGAAAGTGAAAGTTTCCGACAAGGAGATTAGAAGATAGAATGATTAGGCGATAAGGGAGAAGAAGTAGGTGGTGGTTGTTGAGATTGTGGTATTGGTGTCGGAGACGGAGAGGGATGGTTTGGAGCAAGATGATGATGAGATGAGGTTCAGCTAGAGCTATGAGGAAACTCGGAAGAAAGATGTCGCCGGGAAAACCACGTCAAACGCAAACACAACAACACATACGATGGTCTACTTTTCCTGTGGAGTATTAAGTGAAGGAAGGAATGAAGCTCCAACAACAGATGAACAGAGAGCACAGAAAACAGAAAAACAACTGTGTCCTGGAGCAGCTGTTGGTCGGCTTAGTCATGGGTGAACAGCCTCCAGAAAAAGTAGGACCCAGCCAATCAGAGGTCGTCATTGGGGGTGGAAGCAGGTGGAAGACGCTAGAGCCAACGTGGAAGTCACGTGGGTATTACAAATCAGTAATCTGTACACGACATCGTGGAAGCCTGGCCGGCATTGATATCTGACAAAACGGACATCAAGACATTGGCAATGCAGAAGTTGATACGCGGGAATGTCTAAGTTTCCTATCAAACCGGTGTACACACATGTGAAATGTTCACTAACGCTTTGTTGGCTCTAATGTTTGCGCCTGCTTTGAGCAATCCTTATACTCCGTCTCACAGGAGTATATCCAAAGATTGATGCAACGTATATTTTTGATATGGACTCATTTGGACACACAGGTTTTTGATTCTAAACCATATTCATGAGTCCTTTAGCCGATGTCTGCGTGTCGGTCATGATGAATTCATGCGTCTCTGGAGATTGAATTCCATCTCCGCCATCTCCTTACCCGGGAGGTAGGGGGTAGATCCCTTGAACATACAACACTCCCATATAGGATTTCTGCATAACCGCCCCTCATCGCGTCGTCTCTCGTGGATGCGATATTTTTGCTTCGGCATTTCAATCTTACTCTTCCTTGAAGATGACGGAAGAAGAATCCGTTTGGATGGCTCAAGCTGAGAGTCATTCAATCACTCTTGTTCCAACCGACCAAGCTTTTGCGCCAGGGACACATCCTGTCTCATTTCTATGGAATGTATAGCATATTGCTTGCTTCGTATTAACTGGAGTGGAGAGGCTCGGTTGAGCTAGAAGGAAAAAGTAAAGGAAAGAAAGACTCGAAGAAGAGAATGGGCTACGCTTCGATGAAGGACGTTCTATCATCTCCGGCATCTCTATAATTTCTTTTCTTATTGTTTCCTTCACACGCATTACTTTTCTCTATTTGCTCAGGTATATATATATTTGTATACAAACATGCTACCAACCCGCGAAATACCTTTAGAGGGAAGTTGAAGAGAACATCCTACATTCAACTGTCGTTTCTCTTTTGTGAATCAGCTTCTCACAAGAAACCCATGGCACTTCTGGAGAAAGAAAAGAATGGATGATGCCACTGCGGACCACGATATCCCTGATCACCTATGCCCTATATCCCTACCACACACC